GGGCACCTCGCGGCGCGCCCCACCTCTGCTCTGCCCCGGGCGTCCTGATTCCGCTGCTGCTGAAACGGCCCAGCGGCTGACTCCAGGAAGCCCGGGGCATAGCAGCTCTGGCTTGGGCTTCCTGGAGTCAGCCGCTGGTCAGTATCAGCAGCGGCTGACTTGAGGACATCTGGGGCAGAGCAGCTGGGGTGCTGCCAGGTTGGTCCTCGCAGTGCCGCACCTCGGCGCTGTGGGGACCAACCCGGCAGCACCCCAGCTGTCCCCGATTCAGCCGCTGGTCAGTTTTAGCAGCAGCAGAAGTGGGGAATCTAAGGGCAGAGCAGCTTCAGTGGTCCGACTGCCTGGAGCACTTCCGGGTTCCTGATGGTGTTGGACCATCAGGAGTGCCGGACCATCAGATGCCAGACCATTGGAGTTTTACTGTATTACTTGATTGTGCTATGCCGTTAGTCACTTTGCAGAGATGCAGCCTGTGTAGCTGATAGGGTAACACGCAGAAAACCTGTTGGAATCCGAAAATGCATTTTGCTCCAGAGTCCAATTATTACTTGGATCAACATCAAACATTTTCAATGTGTGATGTGTCATGAAATTATAACCACATGCTGCCAGATAAAATGTGTGAGTATTTACACAGGGCTCTGTCTCAATTTGCAGAAGAGTCCAAGAGGACATTTCACCAGGCAGAAGTTTCTGAGGTGGCCGAACAACAAGGTTTAAAGAAGTGAGTTTATATCAGTCTTTGGGCAATCCCTGCAGTCAGCAGTTTATTGTATTATGCCTTGCATTAAGATTGAAGGGCAAGTTACCCTGAAAAATACATCCTTGAGTCAAAGGGCGAGGTCCGTGCCTTGTGTAAACCGGTGTGACTCCATTTAATCAGACCTCCACGATTGGAGGAGCTGGTCCAAATTTCATAAGGTCTGTCATAAAGCCTATCTACCAGGATTACAAAACTGCTGTTCTCCTTCTAGCTATTTGTTTCCAAATCGTGCTAGCTGAGTAAATGTAGGGGAGGCATCCCTTATCTGTAGCTATGGAAACAGAGGGAAAAGAACCCATGAAAAAGAATGACAGAGGCAAGCCAGGGTGTGAGCGTGGGGAGCTCTGAAGAGAAAGCCAGGGAGGAAACGAGAGAGAGGTTTGTTATCTAAAAGAGAGTCTAGGAACTTTAACAACTAGAGGTAGAGATGAAGGAATCCAAAACTGAAATGAACACAGGGGTCAATCAAGCAGCAGAATTTCTGTCCTGCAGCAGTTCTCTTCTCTTCTGCCTAGGGACTGATCCCACTGCTGGAGAATTGTGTCCAGTTCTGGGCACCATATTTCAGGAAAGATGTGGTGAAATTGGAGAGAGTCCAGAGAAGAGCCACAAAAATGATTAAAGATCTAGAAAACATGACCTATGAGGGAAGATTGAAAGGACTGGATTTGTTTAGTCTGAAAAAGAAGACTGAGAGGGGACATGATAACAGCTTTATAGTACCTAAAAGGGAGGAGGAGGGGAAAAAAATTCTCCTTAATCTCTGATTATAGGACAAGAAGCAAATGGGCTTAAATTGCAAGATGGGAAGTTTGGGATGGACATTAGGAAAAACTTCTTAATTGTTAGGGTGGTTAAGCACTGGAATAAATTACTTGGGGAGGTTGTGGAATCTTCATTATTGGAAATATTTAAGAGCAGGTTAAACAAACATCTGTCAGGGATGATGAAAGTCAGGCCTGGGCAAAATACAGCCCATGGGCCTGATTCGGCCGACCAAGCCACCAGATGTGGGCAGGCAGGCTCCCCAGATTGCCCCACAGCCCCATGCACCTGCCGAAACACAGCTGCTCTGTTTCTGTTTTAAAACTGGAGGAGAAGGGGGAAGTTTTAGGAGCCATCCCACCCCAGCACATTCCCATTGGCCGGTTTCTGGCAAAGACCAGCCAATGTGAGCTGCTTGTTGGAGTAACAGGCAGCCAAAAAGAACCACGCCCCCTCTCCTGGGCTCAATTATTCATGAAGCACATGGCCAGGCAAGTAGGCTGGCTGGTTGGGAAACATTTTAAACTCTGTAGGCAGGCAGGCTAGTTTGACAGCTGACAAGTAAGTCTCTTGGCCACAGCCTGCTTCTGGTACCCCAGCCCTTTCCTGCCCCAACTCTCTGCTCCCCCACTAAACATACCGAAACCCTCTGTCCCCCTCTTACACTCATACTCCCTCCCAGATCTGAAACCTCAATCTCTTGCCCCACATTATAGTCCCCTCCTACCTTAGGTCACATCCCAAACCTCTGCACTCCAGTCTCCTGCCCTAGGTCACAACCACCTCTTTCATCCAAACTCCCCCCCAGATTCTATTCTCCCTCCTGCACTGCAATCCCTTATCCCAAGCTCCCTTCTGCACCCAACCTTCATCCCAGAGCCCGCATCTCCTCCATTAATATCATGGAAGAGTGCAGTCCTCGACCACTTTCCAAAATCTTGGAGTGCCCCTCCCCATCAAAAATTATTGCCCACCCCTGTTCTAGATGCTGCTTGGTCCTTCCATGAGAGCAGGGCACTGGACTTGATGACCTCTTGAGGTCCCTTCCAGTTCTAGTATTCTGTGATTCATCACCTTAGTCTAAATCTAAGGAAACTGCATTCCTTTGTAAAGCTGTGTGTGAGCTCTACTGACAAAAAGCACAGCATAACAACTAGGTGGTGATGGTGTACTATTTTGTCTTGAGTGATTTGTTCTCTCGTCTTCTCCCCAGAGGCATAACTGCATGTGTCTTGTTTTGGTAGGGCTGTGCAATGCCTCTACTGCTATTCCATATTTCTTTCCACAAAGGGAGGGCGGAGCAGGGTGCTTGCCTCTTTGAGTGGGAAGTGGGGAGTTTAGCATGATCCTTAGTTCTTGTGGCGGACTGTTCTACAGTCTGGCACTGACTTTGAGAAAGTTTTGTAAATGGATGTGGGCTGGAGTAGCTCCCTGCCTGCCATGGGCAGGGGGGTGTTCCAGCCCCACAGGCGGCCTGCTGTGGACAAGGGCTGCTCTAGTCCAGAGCTACTCCTGTCCATAGTGGGTCTGGATGCCCCTTAGTCAGGGCCTGCTCTGGTGTTTGGAGCAGCCTCTGTCCTTGGGGAGCCAAAGCGCCCCATAGGCTGGGGAGATCCTGCTTGGTTAACTGGTTAAATGTTAGGCTAAGCTAATGTTTAGCCACTTAACTGATTAACCAGGATTTTACATCCCTAATTCATGCTCCAGTTTCTCCTGAGAGCCCCTGGTCTTCAGCTGGACTACATCTCCCGGGATGCTATGTGGTCTCTTTCTGTGACTGAGCCACTGTGCTGCATCATTCCCATGTGGCACTGCAACAAATTAAAGTTGACCCCCAAACATAATGTTTTATTTAGATTGGGGTTTTCATTTCCATTTTCTTCATTAATTTTCCCAAATGAAAACCTTCCCTCGTTTATTAGAATCTAAATTAATCTGTTAGCTTTTGGGGGCAAAGACTGTGGTACATGCTATGCCTAGCACAGGGACAAATGGGGGGTCTTGCCACTTTAGATGTAATTAATAATAATAATTCATGTTTCCATTCATTCTCACAGATCAGAGCAGCGGTGGGGCTGGGAGACAGGAATCCTGGGGTTTATTACTCAACTCTTTAGGGAGAATGGGGGAGAGGGAGGATCAGGATCCTGAATTTTATTTAAAGTTCTGGCAGGGGATGTGATGTAGAAATTGAAGCCAGGAAGGAATGGGAGTCTGGACTCCTGGGTCCTATCCCTGGTTGTGGGAGGGGACTGGGGGCTAGAGCAGTATTCCCTGTAAGCTGTGTGCTTGTGCGGCCACTGAGGAGAGATTCAAGTGTGGCCCAGCTTATTAGCAGAGAGCCCACAGCTAGGTTTTATTTCTACTGGTGGTGCACATTCACATATCTCAGTGCACATAAAATTTATTCTGCACATTGATGGAAAAGTTAGAGGGAACATTGATCTGGGAGGAGGCTTGAAGCAGTGGGAGAGGAAGTCAAGGTACGTGGGCTTTTTTGTGAACTTTGGAGAGGGAAATGTTGTTTAGCAGTGAGAACTGAGAACTGGATATCAGATCTCTTAGATTTCCTTTCTGGTTCTCCCTCTTTCTTCACTTCTCTGTAACTATGGGTATGTCTACACTGAAAAGGTTTGACGATGAAAGGGCTGTCGACATGCAGAAGTCGCCAAAAGTGAAAACTGATCAAATCTGGTTTTCTGTCACTCATTGTCAACATTTCATGGCCACATTGTTAGCACCCAGTCTATAGAAAGAGAAAACTGAAAACTGGTGAAACCTGTTTTTCTGTCTTCCATTGTCCATATTTCCTTCCCACATTGTTAGCACTCTGTCCTCAGATAGAGCAAAGCAATGTAGGTAAGCATCCCACAGTGCCTGGCGTCACCTTCAGTTGTTAAGCCCCTTGGGAATGTGCAATGTAGCGGTATGCATTTTGGGAACATGAAAAATGTTCCATCAGCCACCTCTTTTCATTCCAGCCCATCCTGGGCTTCCAGCTTACTTTCACACTGCTTGAATGACAGTCCTTGCTACAAACTCCAGCATCTGCTGTGAGAAATCATGGATCCCACAATTCTCTCCCATGTTGTGTTCAAAGTGCCTAGAACATTGCACATTGCAGCAGAGCTACGTATGCAATTAATAGCAAAGGAGTAAGACTTGGATGCGGACAACAATGGTGATGGGGACAGAACCAAATCGGCATTGTATTGGGCTGTCACAGATCAGCTGTGCACCGTAGACTTGCTTTTGGGCTAGTAAGAAACCAGCACTTAGTGGTGGGGTGGCATTGTCCAGGTATGGGATGAAGAACTACAGAACTTTTGGGTGCATAAAGCAACTTTCCTGGAGCTGTGTGCTGAGCTGTCCCCTGAACTGTGTGTTAGGACACCCTAAAGCCGTGGTCACCAACCAGTAGATCACGATCTACTGGTAGATCTCAGGGGCTCTAAGAGTAGCTCTTGAGCCCTCTCTGAACCGCGTGCCTGCGCAGTACTTTTACATTAGATTTCCTCATTTGAGGAGCAGCTACTTACTGAGCAACAATACAAGTGAGTAGCTGCGAGGAATGGTGGGAGCTGGGAGTTTGGGAGGGCTGAAACATCCCAGCCAGCTGACTGTGGCTTTCAGCTGAAAGAGGCTGCCCTGCGCTCCAGCTGATCAGGCAGCTTCTCCTCTGCGCCTGCCCACGTGAAGCTTGGTGCACCCTGGCTGAGCGCCATGGCCAGCTGGCCGAGCAGCCACTTCTCTTCCCTCCAGCCCGGCTGGCCTT